AAATATTAAAAAATGTATTATAGGGCAATAAAATTATATGCCACAAAGTAACTACAGTAATAATTAATTCTTCTCTAAATATCACCATTAGTTTAAAAGAAGAATTGACACAAATTTGGCCTGTCAGTATAGAATGTAAATACAGAATGTCCTTTAGTTAAACACCACAAAAATAAAACTACTGATTTGCCACAGTGATTCTAGCCTTTTACCTGTTGAACTTTGATTCTTGAATCAACATGTGTATCTGAACTTTGTTCCTAACTGAATCTGTTCTGGCACACATCCTAACAAAAAAATGGATCAAAAAGGGGGTGGGTACATTTCTAATGATCTACATACAAAGGTGATGATAACATTATAAAGCCTCTGGAACAAGATTGCCACTCAGTAACAACCAGTGTCCCAAACTGAATATGTGAGAAGAATCAAGTCTTATTTTATGGGGGAAAAAAGAAAAAACAACAACCAAACACACACAAAAATACAGAAAAGCTAATTAGGCTGAATCAAGTTATTACTGCGACGTAACCCTGTTAATGATGTAAGAGAACAAATTCTACAATGCCTTTGAAAGTGGACAGCTACTAGTAATTTAAAAGGCCTTACAACCACTTGGTTATGTATATTCTAAACTAATTTGTATTACCAGGTTTTCCTTAAGAGAAAGTTTACAGAATTTTTACTCCTAATAAATAACGTATGAGAATTCCTGTTTCTTCACTGAAATAGGCCTCTTCTCCTTAGTGTACTTTCTACAAAGATCTTAATTTACATGTCTTATGTATGATCAAAAAAGAAAAAAAAAGAAACTAAATTAAAGACAACCACGTATAGTGCAAGGGATAGTTCCCTTATAAGAGTTAATATTGTACGGGAGGGAGTCTCAGACTCTGGGCTCCAGTTCCAGGCGAGTCTCTGGGGACCCAGACTCAAACGGGAGAAGTGAGAATGTCTGGCATCGGTCGGAACTCGAGAGCAGCTTTCTCTCCAAGGTACTTGCAGCGGTTGCTGGGACACTGAGAGGCAGAGCCTCTGGGGACGGGACTGAGAGCAGCCATAACTGCTTGCTCTGCCTGCCCTGTTGATTCCCTGGGACCCGCCCTGCCCAAGCCTTGCACAGAGGCATTTGGGGATAGCCTTAGGCAAAGGCTAGATTAGCACCTACCTAGAGGACAGAAGTTCTCCCACTGCAGATACCGCTGATT